CCACTATCTGCCTCCCCGCCACGACATCACATTCCAATATCTCACCATCCTATCACCAATACCTCGTAATCCCACCATATCCACCACATCTCATCTCATGACTAACACGGCATCCCTGCCATACTTTAGCATTCACAACATATCTACTGAATATTGATTATCTATGTCCTGCATTAAAGAAAGTAATCTCCACCAACGTTGCATCTCTTCCCATTCTACCCACCAGACATCCCTATAACCTTCCCACCTCTACTTTCTCACTACTACCTTCATCACCACCACCTCCCCACCACTGCGTTGTCACCCAAACCTTCCCACTACTACCTTTTCACCATCTTCCCATCACAACATTCCTATCACAAAATATTTACCTTGGCATTCCCATATCTACTGCGTAATGATTAAACGTGTGCTGCATCAGATCTATCGTTCGATTAGTCATCCAAAAATTATATTCCATCTCTAAAATGTCTAGATTGTCTTCAACAAATTGACTATCTCCTGTTACGTTATAATATCTTGCAAACATTGGTATTAATAACGGTGGCTGACTACGCCGTGAGAAGTAAATACGTCCGCCATTGGGTACAAAACCAGATCTAAGTAAACAGAAATATTATGCGAATCTTAGCATAACGTATGTAATAATAATTTCGTCGTTGAATTGAATTGAATCTAGCTGGGAATAATAATGTGAATCTAACATCAGTTAGAAATAATTATATATAAACAAATAATAGTAAAAAAGAATAAACAATTTAATACATTAATACATGTTTTGAGGGATTTTAATTTTGTTTAAGAAGATGTTTCTTTCATGTTTGTAAAAATTGCTTTTATTATTTTGAAGTTTGGAATGAGGCAGCATATTATATGCTTTTTGTTGCCCGCTCTCTTTTTGTGAATTCAATTTTGATAATTCCATTAAAATGTTGTTCTGCCTTATTTCTCAGATGAAATATTAGATTTCGTTATCTGTTTTGTTGTTTTAAGGGATTTTAATTTTGTTTAAGAAGGTGTTTCATTCATGTTGGTTACAATTGCATTTATTATTTTGTAGTTTGGAACGAGGCAGCTTATAAAGTGCTTTTTAATGCTGCGCTCTTATTTTGTGAACAATTACGGACTTATTTTGTAAATTTGTAAGTATTTTGTTCAGCCTTATTTTCTCAGGAGAACAATTAATTTCTTTATCTGTTTTGATGTTTCGAGGGATTTTAGTTTTGTTTATGACGATGTTTCTTTCATGTTTGTAAAGACCGCATTTGAGCAGGAAATGTGCCTCATTTTCGATGTCTTGATTTTTTTTCTTGATATTTTCATTCTGCTATATCAATAGTATTATATCTGCTCCTTTTAATAGTAGGATATCAATTCCTAATTTATTTAAAGACGATCTGTGGTGTTAGATATGTGATTAAGTATTTTGTCAAATGAGAATTTCTTTTTAAAATGCCTTTGTGCAGTTTTTGTTTGTTTTCTTTTTAGTCATCATTTAAAGTTTCTCTATCAATTTATTTAATTAAACCATTTTAATCCTCAGATTGTGCTTCATTCATAAACATATTTCATATTTATCATATTCAGAACATGTTTCATGTCTTACAACCATTGTTGCTCACCTATTTACCTTAGGAGAAAAATTAGAATAATATTTATGTGTTCTTATCCATTGGCAGGTTGGCAGTTTATGATTTGCTGTTGTTATGTAATGATGTCACCAGACTTCAGAGCAATATATATGCTTTTTTTTTTCAATTTTGTTCTTCTCGTATCATATTGTTTCCAATTTGTTCATCTCACATCATAGTGTTTTCAATATTGTTCATCATACCACCGTGGTATGCAAATTAGGTTTAATCTCATATCATATTTTTTCTGTTTTCAGCCGAGCATTAAACCATGACAGTTTGAATTTGAATTAATTATTTTTTATTTATTATCTATATTTTTTTGAACTATTTGTATAGATAAATTTGTGCTTTCTGTAGTTTCCCAATGTGTTAAATTTTATGCCTAATCAAGCGTCCGCTGGCACATCTGTTTTTGGCTATTTTATCAAATATTCTTTTTTTCACAATTGACCTTGTTATATTTATATTCAGCGCTGATTTCAGTTCGGCATTAGTTTCCACCAGAATCACTATGTCTTCAGCGGATAGTAAACAATGTAGATAGTTGTTCAATAATGATGATTCAATATAGCTCCTAACGTCGTCGACAAATATGTTCAAAAGCAAAGGACGTGAACTATTTCCTTTCATGATACCTCTTTTAACTGAGAATCTGTTAGTGATACAGATATTTCATTTTACATTGTCCAGTGAGTAGATTCAATTATTTTATTAAAATTTGCAGCAATTCTGTTTTTATCAGTTTATTGAGGAAGCTTTACTACCGAGTCAACAATTTTTTGCCGTTATTGAGATA